GTAATAAAATCAATGAGCCCACAAATAATACCTCCTTGTAAAATGCAGGAATCATTGTGATAATCTGTAACATTTGTTCTTAAAAGTGTAATGCTTAAGTTCTGACACATTGACATTGTAATTTTGGTTTTATCTTCATTATTAATTTTAAAAGTGTAATGCTTAAGTTCTGACACACCGACCTTATAATTTTGGTTTTATTTTATTATTAATTTCAGACATACACTTTTAAGTTGATTTGGCTAATGCTATGAATAGCTCTTACGTTTTGGGGACAGCTTAAAATTGACTATATAATTCATATCTTTGCATATATTTTGATATTTAATTTCTTATATTATCAAATTACTTTACTTATAAGGATTATTTACCCTGCTAGCATTGGAAGATGCAAAAGAAAAGAACATTAAATATATGAGATTTACAAATGTAGCTAAAATATTTGAATAATTGACTAAGTAACTTGGGGAATAAACTAAGATTGTAAATGAATTATTATTGAAAGGAATTTAGCCTGTTTATCTTGAGTTAACCAAATGTTAATAAAAGAATAAATTAAAGTGATTCAAATTTAATTAGAATTTTAAATAAAATAACATGACTTGTTAATCACATTTCAAATTTAAGCATGCAAGTCTGTAGATTTTGCAGTGTTAACAAGTAAATATTAATTTAAAACCACAGTAACTGTAAACAGTTCTTTCTCTGCACAAAGGCCCTCTTGGACTTTAAGAGTCACATTTTCATTCTGGATGAATAGAGGCTTTGTGCAGCCATTCACTGTTTACTCAGCCCATAGCACTTGTCTAGACAAAGACAATAAACTGGTTAGTGCCAAGTATGAAGAGAAAAGCGAGTTCCAAGAACTTGTGTTGTGTGGTGCTTGTTGGAAACGACCTCTGCAAAACATTCTTACTTAAAACCGTGTTTTTCTAACAACTAAAAAGTGAAATCTGCCCTTGGATTAGTGCAAAGAAGGATGCTCCAATCAGCAGGTTTGGTTATTCTGACAATGGAGCCAAGCCTGCCCGGCTCTCAGGATTTCTGTCAGCCATCAGCCTGGGGCCTGTGTTCTCCTGGTAAGAAGAGACCATCTTCAAAAAAGGAAGGATCTTTTCTTTTCCATACAACACATAACTCTAGGCTGTATTGACATCCCTCCTTCTCCAGCAGAACTTCAATTTATTTATCAGGGCTCTGTTTGAGACAGACAGAAGCTCCTGTCTTTCTCATTTGTTCCTGCAATGTTTATGGAGGGACGTGACTTAGCCAATGACTATCTGGCCCTCCCTTTGCTCCGCTCCCCCCTTGTACTCCAGTGGACTGGACAGTTTGCTTCATTGTTTTTCATGATTATCTAGCAGAGTTCTCTTTGGCTATCAAACTGCCATTCTCCACTCCAACATGATTACAACCAGGCCATATGGGGCTGCTTCCCCCTTTAGACACTTCAGTCAATACTATTGCATTTTTTGAGAACAAAGAGGCACCTAGAAGTAGCTAAGATCAGGAAGGGAGGGATCTGGGTCCCTTATTTGCATGCTCAACATTCACAGGAATCTTCCAGAAGATTCCCTGGTTTCAGATCTCATAAGCAGCACTTTCAGGGACTCCTTTGGTTTTAGTCTAGGAGTTCTCTCTCCTATGCACTAGCCCTCCTGTGCTATAGCACAGGCTCTTACAATAAGGACTCACTTTGGTGTATCTGTACTCACTTTGGTGTATCTAAACCTACTCATGATTTATTTCTCAAGTAGTGTGGGCTCCAAAAGTTTTGTAAAATTTTTATCTGAAGTAATGTGAACATAGTAAACAAAACAGAGCTATTAACACTGAAGATCAAAGGCCAGCAACCAAGGAAGACCAGTAGCAATAACCCAGTACCTGGCAGAGTTGACCTATGGGGTCCAACACAAATTGGCATCAGATGGTAACAGCCAACAGTGGCAGAGACCCAGTGCAGAGTTGATCTATCATGTCCCACACAAGCTAGCATCAGATGGTGACAGCTGGCGGTGGCAGTGACCAGCGCCTGGCTGTGTCAACTGTGGTCATCTGGTGACATCAGTACTGCTAGCAGAGCTACACTTTGCCAATTCATGGTTTCCATCTGAACTGAGTAAAAGAACCCTCAGCTGATTGGTAACATGTTAAAATTGCTGGGTTGAGAATTCAGCTGCTATAGTACCATAGTTATCCTTGTCCACTGTCAGCTTTCTTCCTTCTGCTATGTTTAATTATCCACAGAATAAAGTGCTATTTTTGTGAGAAGTTAGGAAGGCTTGTTTGTTCTTATTGTCATATCTCTATCTGTGGCTGCTAGAGAAGGTATTTTGTATTCACTACTAGGCTTTGTGAGCTCAAGATTTGTCAGTAGATGTGTGTCGTGGAGTAGTCAGCAGTGGATCCAGCCTTGATAATGTACTGTCTGTGAAGTCTGTTTCCCAAGTAGTCAAAGGCCTTTCATGTGCTTCTTCTTACGATACTTCCATGAAAATAAGACCTAACTAGAAAATGACCCTAAGAATGTTTTTTCAGGATGCTCATAATATACATTCTACCTTTGAAATAAGCTTCTGTTAAGACCATCAGCCAGACAGATGCATTTAGTATGTCTACTGCAATACATGACGGATATATTGAATTATGAAATAGTAATATTAATATATAACTAAATATAAATTTATTGGCATTAATACTCAAAATACATGATCCTATAAATTATAATTGTTTATAATATACAAGTGGATAATAGATGAATGCCTATGAAAGCAGATAAATTCAAAACTTATTGCTGAATGACCAGCTGAAGTACAGATACAACACACAAATATTGTGTGCACTTGATAATGAATGAATGCAGTTGTGTCTAATATGAATCCTCATAATTCAGTACATCATGCAACATAATGAACATACATGAAAGAAGAACTGTTTTCTGAATTTTGGTGCCTGCAACTTTTTTTTTTTGCTTTTATGTGGATCATTATTCTTCACTATCATCATTTTTCTTGCCACTCCCATTTTGTGAGTCTTCAGTTAACACCTGCTTTAATGAAAACTTTGTGAAACCTAGTCTGCGAGACATTGTGATATGGGTGAAGAATTCATGGAATAAAATCAATCCCTAACAGCTGTGTTGTCAGTGCACCATAAGCAAGCTACGTGGACAAGAAATTCTCATTTAAGGAGAGCTCTATAGTAGGACATGAGAGATTGGGACTAATGGTTCTAATGGAAATGGAGTTGCAAGAAATTCAGACTAGAATTCAGGATCTGGAGAGTTATGCCAATGTTTCAGAAGATGATATGGCTGTATTTGAATAAATATAGATTTTTTTGTACATGAATAAAAGTAGATTATTGTATATGAAAAAAATCCCTATAAAATAAGCCCTATCATGTCTTTTGGAGTAAAAAATTAAATATAAGACCCAGTCTTATTTTTAGGGAAATATGGTACAAATCTCCAATACTTTAGGCAAATATTTCTTGATCAATTGATTTTACTTTAATTCAAAAATTTTACATGACATTTTCAAAATAACCTCAGGGTCAAAGTCCTCTTGTGACAAAGACTGACAAAGTTCACAACAAAATGGCTGCCTTGATAGCCAAGCACACAGCAAGTGTGTCACTTGGCTCTTTGGTTTACCTAGATGATTTCTAACCACAGAGTCCCCAGGGATGGTAGAGATGGGACTGATTTCCAGCTACATGCCTGGGCTCAGGCCTCAGTCCCCTGGGCCAAATCCTTCACCCGTGTCCCCCAGAACACTTTGTCTGGGCCCCATTTCTGTACCCTCTCTGGTTCCATCAACCTCCTTGCCTCTTGACTATAATGCTTAGCCTGTTTGTTGCCACTTCCTCCAGCTGAGGCACTAGATCTGAATGTGGAGGAGTAGGGGGCTGAGGTCCTGCTGCCTCTGGTCTCTGCACAGTTCTGGAAAATAGTGCTGCTGTAGCTTTAATATGCTAAAAATCACCCAAGGAATCACATCAGGATCTTACAAAGGCACAGGTGCTGAATCCAGAGGTGTTGGGGGCCATGGTGTGTGGGCCATAGTCAAGCTTCTTGTGACACTGTGCTGCAATTTTTAGGCTAAAATTTGAATATCAAGGATTGAAAGATTTTTAGGTTATCCCTTACTCCTGCCACTCTTGCTCTCTTCCTTTCTTCCTTCTTTCTTCTTAATAGGATTACTGTACTTGATTAAGGTCATGTGTCTTCTGTGTCTTCTCCAAACTTGAGATACACTCAAAAAATTCTACCCTTGGATTTAGGTTAAAAACATATGCATTTGTACGTGGTGGACTAAAAAACCCACTTGGTCATTCCATTGGCAGGCTTTTAAAATGACATCCAGTTTAAAAAAAAAACTGCCTAGAGACACTGTGAATCATTTGTTTGATATGTTAAGTAAGATTCTGAATATAAATTTCTTTATATAACATTACTTTCTTTTGAATATCAGAGCTCAGTGCAAACATATTTTGGTGGGTGCTGGGCATCAAACCCAGGGCCTCATGCACATTAGGAAAGTATTCTACCTTTGAGTGTTATCCTAAAGCCCTTAATATATTTTTAAAACTTAGTCTCTAGAAAAAAAAAATTCCTGTTACATTCTGTTGATGTTACTACTATTGGATCCCAAGATCCCAGTAGTTGATACTCATGATGAAATTTTATGTTCTGAATAGTTTGACTTTTATGCTGGATAGGGAAAAATTATTTTGTATAATTGATAAAATTAATAAAATTGAAATGGAAAATATTAAGGTTCTAGTCTTTAATTTTGGAACTTAGAACACCACAGTTGCTATATTTTAATGTTGTTTGTTCTGTATACTTTCTTTCATTCTTTTTCTCTCCCTTCCTCTCTTTTTTTCCTCCCTCCTTCCTTCCTCTTCCCTCACTCCTTCCTTCCTTTCTCTTTTTTTTTGTACTGGGACTTGAACTCAGGGCTTTTGCATTGAGCTACATCCCCAGCCCTTTCACTTTATTTTTTATTTTAAGATAGGGTCTTACAAAATGGCTAAATTGCCAGGCAATATGTTTATGCTGTGTTGATATTCTGAATATAAATCTATTCACAATCCAATCCAAGAGTGGATTACAGATGTGTGCCACTGTGTCTGGCTTGTTTACACTTTTATATGGATTTTTCTGTTCCTTCTTGCTATTTTTTTCTAATTTTTGTAGCAGTAGCCAGCTGGTCATCAAAGGTTCTCAGCTTCCTTGCTGTGTTGTCATGTCAGATGTGGTCTATGATATCTTGTACCTGTAGAAACAAATGCAATTTCCTTCATGCTGTAGAAACAAAAGCTGCCTCTGAGAATTAGTAGTTTGTATAAGGATGGGCAAGATGCTTACTTAGGGTTGGGTGAATAGTAAAGGCAATGGGATGGATCTGGCCCTCATAGAACTAATACTCACCAAAGCAACATAGCAGGATAAAATAGCACACTGCACTTAGTTATACTCTATTAGAATTATCTCCTAAAATGATCCACTTAATCCTGACAATTACTTCTACCAAAAATTTTTATCACTTTCCTGCCTTAATTACTATCAGAGCACCTAAAAACATTTAAATATGAGTATACAGAAGTGCTAAGCATTTACTGTGTGCTAAGGGCAGCAATATAATTCATTGAATATTTCTTTGAAGAAATACATATCTTTATGTTTCGAGTAAGAAAACTGAGACCCTAGGAGTGAATTAACTTGTCCAGAGTCCAGGAGAATACTAGAGAATGGGTGCAGGTGTCCTGAGTCAGGGAGTAACAAGGTACATTATATGTAGAGAATTTCAATATAATAATAAAATTGACTAAAAGTCAGGGCACCCATTTTTCTGTATTTAAAAATATTTGACAAAATATATATAACAAAAAACTTGCCATCTTAACCATTTTAAGTGTATTGGTCAGTCTCATTAAGTATATTTATACTATTGTACAATCATTTATAATTCTTGGGAAAATTTGGATCTCTTATTTTTCTTTAAAAACAAAGTAGCTTGTCAACTGTGAAGTCTAATCTTTTTGTTAGCAAGTACAAATCTTAGTTTATATATAAAATATTTGACTGAATTAAGTATTTGTAGTTGAATGATCATAATGATGATCATTTATCTATGATTACCTAAGTATGCTGAAAATAAACTCATTAAATAGAGTAGAAGTTAAAAATATGATCCACTCTGGTTCTCAAATATTCCAGGTGCATCAGAGTCACAGCTGAGAAGTTTTGGGACATGTGCTCAAGTTCAGGATTGTCTGATGCCATCCCTTTGGTTCTTACTATATGCTATTTAATTATTTTCAAGCTTTCTCATTTTCTAAAGATAATTTGCTGTCTACGCTCAGATAATGGTTGTTATACCTATTCTTTTGCAAACACAATGTCAGGGTGAATATGACACTCTCTTGCTCTTCAAGCTACTTTACCTTTAGGAAGGAAGAAAAACAGTGCAATCATTTGAGTAGTTTTAAAATACTGACCAATATCTTTTTCGTATTGTTTTTGTTTTGCCACTAAAATTCATGTGGATAACATAGATAGGACATAGGTGGATGTGGGGTGTGGAGTAATGACAATCAAGACCTTTTTTTTTGTTTCCACTTAGTTGGCGAATCCTACATTGTGCCTCCATAGACTACTATATTATATTCATCCATTATAAGTGGTAGTAAATACTTTTTCTTCTTCTAGGGGGTTGAAGGTACTCAAATTTGACTTAGTGCCTGAGGAAGAGATTTAAGTGGGTAAGAACAGAGTAAGTGGGGCATGAAGAGGCCACCATAGATGTAATGAAGATAAGAAATGTGCAGGGTTGCTGTACATGGTGGAGTGGGATGTGTGAGGTGCTGTGAATCTCTGTCTTACTGGAAAGTCAATCTATACAATACGTGTTGAACTGGGAGGGTTCTGTGATTCACTTGCAGTTGATGGAGTGGATTACTGGGATAGGAAGAGAATTAGGACTCAATGGGTCAGTGTGCAACTACAGTGTTGAAGTTTTCTCTTTAGAAAATCTTTTCTGACATTGCATGAAATTAGAATTATTTGATGATTTCATGGAGATATGAGTAGGGAGGGAACCCACAGATTAAATTCTTATGAGTCAAGAATGAGGAGCACATTGTTTTAATTTTAGAAATAATGGAATGTGACTTTTTTTTTGCACCTGAGTAGTTAAGAGTAAAATTCCAGCTTGCTACACAAATAAACAAGCAATTGCAACATAGAGTGATAAGTAATGTTGAAGAAAGCATCAAGTTCAAGGAGGACTTGGGGGAGGGGGAAGGCCTCCTAGGAAGAGATATCTAAGTCAAGAATGAGGAGCATTAGCCAGGAGAAGGGGAGAATAATTCTCCAGGCAGGCTGAATGAAGGCATGACAAGGAAATAGTTTAAAAAGGAACACCTGAAAGGATAGATACAGTTGATGTAAACTGAAACAGATTAGGTACACCTTCCATTAGGAAGCTAGTGACTTATCATGAGGGCACTGGGCAAGCAATGGGTGAGTTTTGTACAACAGAATGACCGGATGAGAAGTTTTAGAAGAATCACTCTGGTATCCCAGAGAACAGTGTGTGGCATGGCAAGAAGAGAGGCTCTGATGAATTGCCAGCTGAAGGGAGGCAAAGTTTAAAGGTTGGCTGGACTATGCTGTTACTAGGGTTGTAGGAGAGAATCTGTTTCATGTTTTTCTCCTAGTTTCGGGTTTTGCTGGCCATCATCGGCCATCAAGACAAGACAAGGCATTCCTTGCCTTGTAGGTGCCTCACTGCAATCTGTGACTCTATCATCACATGGTGTTCTCCTAATGTGTCTGTGTCTTCATGTCATCTTCTCTCTGTGTCTGTTTCTCTTTGCCTTTTGTGATGAAGACAGAGATTGAATTTAGAGCTTCCTACTCTCATATGAACTCACCTTATCCAGTTATATCTGCGAAGGCCTTTTTCCAAATAAAGTCACATTTTGTGATTTAGGGAAAGATTAATTTGGAAGGTATGATATTCCACCCTGAAAATTTTCATGAGAAAACACCAAAGGTGATCACTTTGACTTTGAACTGTAGGGCACCAGCCCACTGCCTCACCAGTTACTTTCCTTTATTAAGTCAACCTCATGGAAGGAGGGACTAAAATATTCCAGAATTAAGATCCCTTGGGTTACTTTTATATAGATTATTGTAAAGATCCTCTTTGCATTTTTAGATCTGAAAAGGCTATTATTGAAGTTCTGAAGAATAAAAAGATTACAATAAGCATGTGCTCACTTAAGTACATGACATATTGTCTATGGAACAATGTATTTTTTTTGTTTAACATAACCTATAAGGCTTCAAGAAAGAAAAGCCAAATGTTTAAGGCATAATGTTATCTAAATATCCATATCAATTTTATGAAATGCTAATGAAGAAGTTTGAACAATTACCTGTTTTAGGAAGGGGAAATACTTTCACTTTAAATTTTAAGTAAAAATTTCTCTATAACTTGAAGTTAGAAAATTCAAAAAGAAAGCTTATATCATGTCATTAAAAGTTCCAGATATTTATCAAAATGTTAAAACTGTGACATCAATCAAGTTTTATTCTTAGAATATCACATGCAAATTTAGGATAGCATAGTCATGCTGTATGATTTACAGTGCTATGTCCCACAGTCTATAGAAAGAACAAATCTTTATATATGCAGCTCAATGGGTAGCTTAACATTCTCCTTGCTTTTAGCAAAACACATAAGTTTTATTCTTTATTCTGTGAATTCAGAGTAGGCATCTATTATGATCACAACTATTTCAAAGATTACACACAGAAAATAATTCAAGAGCTGTCTTGTTTTTCTGGTCATCAGAAAGTTGAATCCATCATGAAACATATAACATATTTTCTAATGAGAAGTCATATTTTGTCAGACCATCATTAGTGCTCTTTTCCAATTTGTTCATAAAGCTGAAAAGGCAGAAAAATAATTAGCCACTTACCTCCAGGTTTACATCATCCTTTGGTAAGAGCAGTCAACCACATGCAAATCCTCCTAGCTAACAACTGATTTCCTGCATGTGAGCAGAGTGGTTAAAGAGACTTTATTGAGTGACTTGCTAAAATACTAAGATTTTGTGTACTTACCTTTTTAAAAAAATATGGCTTTCCAGTAAGTAGGTGACGAGTTAACCATTTCAAAAAAGAAACAGGGTTGACTGTAATTGTTAATTTGTTGTCACATCCATTATGGCTTCCACATGGGAAATGTGATCATATTTTTCCTTTTTGGATGTAGGAAAAATATTATTTGACAATAAGTTTTAGAATTTGCCCAGGATTAGTGATAATAATACATAGTTTACAGATATAATAATAATAATAAATAATAATTCCAATTAATATGATTTTATTGAGTATCTACTTTGTATTAGGCATTGTGTTAAGTCCTTTACTTACACGATCTTATTTAATTTGTACCACAAGCCTATGGGCTAAATTTTACTTTTAAATGGAGAATGTTTAATCATTTTTCCATATTACATGGCCAATATCAACCCCAAGTCTATCCAATTTATGTTCATGCTCATACAATTGTAGCTGTGTTCAGCAGATGATATCCTATACAAATCCATTTGGTTGTCCATTACTGTTTTATAACATTACCTGTTAAATGTCTCAGTCCTCTGAGAACCTTGTCTTATTTCTGTTTATCTCTAATGATTTGCACAATATTCTAAAATAGGAGAGTTTTCAATAAATGAATCCATAAAAAGTATCTTTTGCTTATCCATGATCTGTATATGGAAGTTAGAAGACCTTTGTGCCAACTCTTTTCCAAGATCGATTTTCCTGCCTATCACAATTGTAGATAGCAGCTCAATTGTGTTAGTGTTTCTGGCTGCCATAGGTTCTCATGGCAATCTGTTTCCAAGGCTCAAGGAAAGCCTTGCTCCAGGTTTTGCAATTTGATGATCACCAGCAGGGTACACCAAGCACAATGGAAAATGAGCAGCTCTCTTTTCTCTTTTATCCAGTAACTTTTTACCAGCAACCAGGCATAAATTACATCTGGTATATTCTTCATCTTTGAATACAAATTTCTAATCTTATTGCCCATGATCTTCTCCTATATGAAACATTCATATTTAAATCAATAATGTATTGGGGTAATAAACTTAAAATTGAGAACTTCTTGGCCTAGAGTTTTATTTGTTAATTCATTCAAGAAGTTCACTTTTATGTATAATTTTAATACTATTAGGAAGAATACTAGAAGGAGAAGATAACAAATTTTTCTTAATACTTACAGAATTTTGAATTATGTATATATTCATGACAACCTCAAAAATGTGGGTGAAGAAAGCAAAAAGATGATTTTACTCTTTAAAATGGTTATTTTATTTTGGCTCTGGCTAAAATGAGCCATTTCTTCTCCTTTCCTACTCTGCCTACACCACACACACACACACACACACACACACACACACACACACACACACACGCATTATTTCCCAGGGAAAGAGCTGGATAGTAGCTAAATCAAACTGATGGATTTAGCAAATGCCAGAAACAAAGTCTAATCTAGAAAGACAGTCCTCTGCTGAGATGTTCAACTAGGAAAGAATAGGCTAGAACAAGTCTAAGTCAACCTTCCAGAGGTTCTAGGGGAGCCAGATCTAAAGCCAGATAAGAAACTGGTTTAAAGAAAACACCACAGGCAAGTAGAGGTATTTCTAAATGGGGTCGTTCCACTAATCCCATCAGAAGGGTTTGTCTGTTTTTTGTAATCTCCTTTGTGTTAGTGCTATGTGTCTTAAAGTACTTCATTGTCTTCTGTGTACTTCATTGTCTTCTGTTAAGGACTATTTACACAGCTATTCAATTCATTTGGTTAATTTGTTCGCTACCATTGTGACAACATTTCTAGGTGTAAGGGAACAAAACATGATTCAAGTCAGTATGTTTTCAAAGTACCAAATGAAGCAATCATACTGAGGTACCAAGCAAAGCAAATCAGCACACCCATTTTCCAATGTAACATAAAAAGATGAAAATAGAAAGCTCTATTTTTAAAAATCACCATGACAAGTTATAGGAAAAGCAATATATTATTACATAGTATGCATGCTACTTTGAATGTAGTATTAAGTATTATAAATACATGAATGTAGCATTAAGTATTATAAACATATATATATATCCTTACCAAGATGTACTATTTGATACATATAAATAAAATCTACTTTCTATAGTAAAATCACACTTTTGTAATAAATTATTATGCACTGAGTCCTTATGATCCTTATGATCACACTATTCTTCTTCTGTACTACATTTGCTTTTTCTAAATCTCTTGCACTGTTTCATACAACCATGTGCACACAGAATTAATTCAATTTTTTTATTAAACTACTTGAGAATAAGTTGCAGATCCTGACTTCACTTCTAAATACCTAATCATACTTCCCAAAGAACATAAATAACCACAATTTAAAAATGAAATTCAAGAAATTTAACAACAGTATACATTCCTATTATCCAATTCCTACTCTATATGCAAATTTCAACAATTATCCCAATAACTATGTCCTGTATAGCATTTATGTTTTTGATCCAGGAGCTTGTCCTAGATCACTCTCTTGTCACAACTCTTGCCTGTTTTTATTCTAGAGAACAGTTCTTCTCTGTGCCTATGATGAAATTCACATTCTTGAGGGGTATAGGCCAGTTGTTTGTAGATGTCCTTCACTTGGGTTTGTATGGTTATTTCCCAAAGTTACTTATGGTCTAACTACTGTCCTTAATTTCCAAGTGTCTGCCACTGCTTCAGCTTGTTCCTTGATTTGAAGGATAGTCTTTCTAGAATTATTGATCTTCGGGACATCCACCCCCCTTTAGCGGGTATCACACCACTAAGTAACTTGTCAGTTTTCTATGACTCAGCATATTCCCAGATCACTCTTACTAAAGTTAGATAGTTAGTCTTAGATGATACTACGGACTGGGGATTTAGCTCAGTGGTTCCACCACTTGCCTTGTAAGCGCAGAGACCGGAGTTCAATCCCTGGTACCAAAAACAAAAAAACAAAACAAAACAAAAAAAACACTCCCCCCCAAAAAAACAACTTAGGTGATACTACATGTGGGCCAACAAAATCCAGACTCGGAGTACACCCCAAGCCAAATACTATTCCTATACAGACTTTTCTTCAGCATGCGGTGCAAAGTAGAGTGGTCCTTCACAGGAACCCTACTAGAGCCCGGTTTTTATTCCTGATCTCTTGTAAACAAATACTTGGACAAGAACGTATAAACACATATCCCAAGAAAAACCAGCAATTTTCAGACATAAGTTCTAAATCTAGATTGAGGGAAAAATTATAACTTTGTCAGAGTCCAACTGAGCTTAAGATGCATCTAGTTTACATTACTAAATAGCCCTTCCAGAGAATTTATAGTTGGGTTAATTTATTGCATTTTGGCTTTCTTTAAGAAAAATAGTGAGTTCTTACTTTACACCTACAAAATTAAAAGGCCCATTGAAATGATGTTTACAAAGACTGATTTAGCAGTTTGGCTCCAAAGGTAAATTCCATCCACTACTTCAGAGGGCAAAGCTGCTTATAACTTTAAAACTGAAAGGCTCCCCATGCTCAACTATTTTTGCTGTTTTAAGGCAGATTTTCTACACTGTACCTGGTTAGAGACAGCATCCTTCAAATATGTCCTATCCAAAAGCCCAATCCTAAAGCCCATTCTTAACATTTTATACTCCTAACAAACAGGAGCACTCTGCTGATCTCTGTTAATACCCTTGGTTTAGAACTTAAATATTTTCCAAAGGCCATTTTAGAAGACTGGTCCCTAGCTGATGTTACTGTTGGACAATGACAGAAATTTTAAAAGGTGGTGGAGGAATAGAGGCAGGAAAATAGGTCACAAGGGGCATGCCCTTAAAAGAAAGTTTAGAATCTCATGCCCTTCTTTTCTCTTTTTGTTTCCTAGTCATCATGAGAGGAACGTGTTTCCTCCACCATGTGCTTTGGCCATGATGTATTGCGCTATCACACACCCCAGACAAATGGAACCAGGTAACCATAGACTGAAATCTCTGACATCATGAGCCAAAATTAACCTTTCCTCATTTAAGTTATGTTGGTTATTTTGTCACAGCAATAGGAAGCTAATAATAGAAAATTGTTACCAAGAAGTAAAGTCATTGTTGTGATCATACTGACAATGTGGTTCAGAAGCCTTTGGAATTAATTTGTCGGAGGAATTTGGAAAGTTTGGAGAAGTAGACTAGAGAAGGCTGCAATGCTGGCAGCAGAGCCTAACGGTATTCTGGAGAGTCTCAGAAGCAGAATGCTGAGAGAAATGCAAAGAGTAAAGGCTGTGTTGATGAGGTTTCAGGTGGAAATAAAGGCTTTTGGGAACTGGACGAGAGCATACTCCTGTTACACTCTAACAAATAACTTGTTTTATCCATGCCCTGAAATTTTATGCGAGGCTGAGTTTAAAGTGTATCTGGTAGAGAAAACTTCAAGGCAAAAAAGAATTCAGGTACTTTTCGTGAGAACTGTGGCTCCTCTTAATTGAAAATTGGGAAGAAGGACAGAGAAGAAAGATTTAGAAACTTGTAATTTGACCAGGAAATACACATGTTTAAAGTTGTAGTCATGTAGGGTGCAGTTGCTAAAGGGTTTAGTACTATTAAATAGATACCAGGCTCATAGTGTGAATACAAAGACTTTTTTTTTTGAGAAGAGAGCCCTGAGGCACTCCATGATTTTGTTTACCCATGTTCATCTGTCAAGGCACTTAGAGGTTGCTTTTCATGCTGGTGACAGACTTTGGCATTGTTCACATGATACTGGTTTTTCATACATGCAAACTGAAAGAGTTATGGGGTTATGAAGGCTTCTACCGAGATTTTAAAGGAAAGTTTAAGAAGGCCAAGCAGTGCGTGGCGTTACTGAAGGCAATGCAAGCAGGCCCTGACAGAGTGATATGTGAAGATGTGAGTGAAGCTAAAGCTTCAGTGGACCATAAGAAGTTAGAGATGCCAGGA